TGGATGTCATGTTCTCCCAACTCCACTGCCCATTGAAAATCCTTCCAGTGAGATCTGTCTTCCTCAAAATGGCCTTTAAGGGCTGATCGGTAAGGACAGTAATTGGATGTGCCTGAAAATAATGCCTTAGTTTTCTTGTAGTCGTGACCAAGGATAGAGCGAGTTTCTCCAGGGGTAGGTATCTTGTCTCCACGTCTAATAGCCGCTTTGTTCACGTAATATACTGGCTTCTAGTAGTGCTTGTGGTTACGAATAAGTATCCCACTGATGACAAATTCTGACACGGACAAGTATAGGAACAGCATTTTCCCTTGAATAGGGCCTGGAGAACTCTGAGGTATTCCTTGATTCCTGCCAGGGCACCCTCACACTCTTGGTTCTATGTATCCTTCCCGGCCCCCTTGATGGCCCCAAAGAAGGGTTTACATTTGTCCGAGGAACGCGAGATAAAACGATTAAGTGCTGTCAACATCCCTGTGAGCTTCTAGACTTTCCGAACCGTTCTAGGACTCCGGATGCCTAGGATTGCTTGAATATGATCTGGGTTAGCTTCGACTCCTCGCCGACTCACCAGATATCTGAGAAATTTACCAGATTCCACTTCGAAAACACACTTCGTCTAGTTTAGCTTCAGCCCATACTCCTTGAGGGTGGAGAAGGTATGGGCTAAATCCACCAGGTGATCACAGCTTCTCCTACTTTTAACCAATATGTCATCGATGTAGACTTCCATGATGTTACCGATCTGTCTTTTGAACATCTGATTCATTAGCCTCTGGTACGTAGCTCAGGCGTTCTTCAGCCCAAATGGCATGACTTTGTAGCAGTAAACCCCCCTCAAAGTGATGAATGCCGTTTTTTTGTAGATCTGGGGGATGGAGAGGGATTTGATGATATCCTGTCCTAGTATCCAGGAAGCCTATGCGTTGATACCCGACAGTGGCATCCACCAACTGGTCAACCTTTGGTAGGAGGTAGTCGTCCTTGGGACATGCCTTGTTCAAATCAGTGAAGTCCATGCAAACACTCCATTTTTCCCATTTTTCTTCGCGCAGACCGTGTTTGATAACCATTCTGGGAACTACACCTCCCGGATAATATTAGCCTCCAGGAGCTTATCGACTTCCTTGTTCACCGCCCGGGCATGATCTAGTGTCATGCGCCGTGGCTTCTGTTTTACTAGCTTGTGTGTCGGGTCCACATGTTGCTTATGCGTGATTATTTTAGGGTCCACCCCTTTCATTTTCATTGCGTTCCAAGCGAACACGCTTGCATTTTGCCTTAAAAAGTCAGTCATTTTCTCATGTTCGGCTGTAGGCATTGCGGAACCAATCAGGAACTATCTCGCATCTTCACTGTCTACTAAGAACACCTTCCAGAGATCCTCCACCGATTGGTCCGTCGGGTCAGTCCGGGGTCATCCACTCCCGGACGCTCGGACTGTGATTGCTATTTTTCTAGGATTTCCTCCGGGGTGCGTCCCTTCTCTTGGGTGAAGACCCCCGCCCACACGGCCGAGTAAAAAAAATTTTTTGCAGACATCTGGTCCCCTCGGATCTCCATTATTTCCTTTGGTGTAGTAAACTTCAACTTCTGGTGATAAGTGGAGTGTACTGCCCCCAGCGCATGCAACCATGCTTGCCCCATGATCACATTGTAGGGAGAGTTCGTATTAATCACAACAAACTCAGTGTTGATGGTGAAGGGACTCGTGATGACAAGTAATGTAATTTTGCCTATGAGCAAGGTAAACGAGTTGTTAAATCTGACAAGGGGCGTTCTAACCTTAGTGAGGTCCTTGAGGCTAAAGCCCATCCGTTTTAAGGTTTCAAAGTACATCACCTCCGAGGAACTCCCGAAATCTACCAACACCTCTTGACATCGAACTTGCATATTTTCAGAGTTATGATTAGGGCGTCGTTATGGGGAGTCACCACGCCCGCCAAGTCCGCATCGGAGAACGTGATACCCGACTCGCCAGTCCTTGCCCTCTTGCTAGGCGGGCCCCCATCGCCCTCGACAACTTTTCTTGTAAGGGCTACCTTTCTTGAAATCAAACTCAAGCTCCTTGGACGTCGGGCAATCTATCGGACATACATGGATCACGTCTATGACGTTGTCTTGTGCCACGATCGGGGCAGGGCCATGTCCCTCCGACTTTCGTTCGATGTACTCTTTCAAGTAACCATCCTGAACTAGTCATTCCAAGAAAAATTTGTACACTCTACAATCTTCGGTGCGATGGCCGAAATCCTGGTGATAGGAGCACTTGACTTTTTGATCACAGGTGGAAGGATCACTCTGCATCCTAGGCGGCCATTTGAAGAATGACTCATGCATAATTTTATAAAACAACTTGTAGATGAATTCTTTGAACACAGTGTGAACACCTTTAAATGGCTCTCTTGGAGGGGGTACCAGCCCCTTTCGGGAGGTGTCCTCCATTTCCTTCTCTTTTCTCCTAGGGGCGAGAGTTTTGCCTTTGTCGCCCCCCATTTCATCTTCAATCATGGAGTATTTTTTATTCAGGCCATCAATTCGCCCATATCTGAGGGAGTCTTCTTAGTCAGGGATCGATATAGGTCTGTGTCCCTCGCTAGGCCGAGCCTAAAGGATGCGGCGGCCATGACTTTCAAACACCTCTCTATCTGATTGACCTCCTCCTAGTACCTGATGGCGTACTGGGGAAGGATTTTCGTTTTCCTCCGCTTTAGGGTTTGTAATGATCCAATATCTTTGGACCGTTTACTCCCCGTAATGAATCGGGCTAAAAACTGTCTCGTCAACTCCTTCCATGACCCATGTTGTTGGGAGGAAGAGTCTCGAACCACTTCATAGCGGAATCTCTTAAACTCATGGAGAACACCCGACAGAGGAGTCGTTGGTCCGAGTGATAGAGGGACATCATTTGCTTGTATTGTCTTAGCTGAGCTTCGGGATCAAATCTCTCATCATAAGTTTTGAACTTTGTTACGACGAACTTTTTTGGTACCTCCATTTCTCAGATATCCCTAGTAAAAGGGGATTGCAGTGCCTCGTCTTCTGCGTCGTCCTGGACGGTCTTGTCCTTTCTTCTGGATTCCAACTGAGCTTTGAGGTCAGTCTCCACCTCAGGGGGATGTCCTCTGAGGTTTCTAAGGTCGTTGACGGGGTTCCCCTTCTTCGAATGTCGTGTGGAAAGGGTTGAATCCTCGAACTCGTCCTCTTTCCTGCGCCTTGACAGGCTTCGCCAGAGGTCGTCCCAAGCTAAAGGTCTCGCCTTCCTGGAATGACCATCGAGGGGGTGCTCATTGGTTCTTGGGCGCTTTGGGACCCTAGAACTCTCAATTTTGTTGTTCAAGTGATTTCTCAAGTCCTCGGTTTCTGCTTCCCAGACGGAGCGTCTGCGGGAACAGAATGAGTCTTTTGATCCATCGCCGAGGACTGCAAATTCGTTGAGCCGGCTTAGGACATTCACATTATTTTTTTTAACTGCTGTAGCCGATCCTCAAACTTTTCTTCGATCACTTCCGCCAGTTGACAAGCCAAGGGGGCGGATCCTCCTGACCCAATGTCCATACTGGTTAGAGGAGTATGCCCCCTTGACTGAATAGAAACGTTCCCGTTGTCACCAGCGTGATCCCTCCCCTTGTCATTATGAGGAGCTTATAACTCGAGACTTTTTTGTTGGGGACCTTTCCCTTTCTGTCGAGTATTCATCATGGTCGTTGTTCTTTCTAGAAATGGAACTAGAAAAACTAGTCGTTTCCCACAGACGACACCAGATTGTGCGTGCACGATCTTGCACAATATAAACAGTAGAACAGATCTCTTCCGTGGTGAACACGAGTCCGTCAATCGAGTGGTCGATCTTGCTTCTTGGAACAGGTTGTGAGGGTCGAAGGTGGCCTAAGGAGGGATAATGAATCGTTTTTATGAGTCGCCTGAATGATCCTGGGAGGCTAAGGGAGACTCCTGGAACAGAGAAAAACATGTTAGAAGGGCGTCGGAGTGTTTTTCGGCGTATCCCCTCCGACGATCAAGTCAATTCCTTAAGGGAGGGGAAGAAAAAAAATATTGTATGATAGTTGATAAAAGACTTGTTGCGTACCCCTTTTTTGTGTTTGTGAGGATTATTTATACTTTAAAAATTCATCATTGCTGACAACGTAATTAGTAGATAATCATTGGAGGTGGGCAGTATGCACACCAATTTCTATGATAATGTTCTTATTCTTAACTGTTCGGGACCCCAAGCAACTAATACTTTCTTCTTGGTCTGCCAAACATTTAATGATCTTCCCTCGGCGAGAGTGTATTAAATATCTAGGCTTTGAGACATTTATTACCTTTCACTTTCAAGCTCTCATGCATTAAATGTTGTCTCATCAAGGGAATGGTGCACTAAATACTTTCTTTCCCAAGTCGTGTGACTGCAATAGCATTCTGGTCTTTTTATCTCTGATCTGACACAATTCACCACGTGCCCATTCCTCTTTGGTTTAGCCTTCTGCTTTCTTGTGCCTCCTGACACTATTTGAGTAAGACGAAGTCATGATAGATAGTCTAGTCTAGCCTAGGCTAGTGATCTGTCTATCAATAGCTTCTATAGGAGCAGAAACGCCCACACGGATAGATACACCTCGGTGCCGAGGGACTAGCATGATTTAGTACCGATATACCCAAACTGCCGAGGAATACTTGTCGGTCCACGGTGGTTTGGGAATCCTTGATCCCTGTGAATAGAATTCTCGAGACAGGGGAGTTAAAAACTGACAAAGACGTGTCGGGATCAGAGCGAGAGAATTTTCATTGACGTCGAGTATACGTGTTATCATCTGGGAGTGTCTGAAAATATTCTATCAATAACTTATTGTCTGAGCTAGCTGCTCAAGTACAAAAAAATGAATTTAATTAGAAACCTTACTCATGATCTAACTTATTATTGTTATCAAATTAATAGTGAATTTTAAGATGAAATAAAATTCACTACCAATCCACTATAATTAATTAATCTTTTTTCATGGGACCTTGTGTACGGGTCCCCAGGCGACCTTATTCCGGGGCCCTGTCTCTTTCTGCCAAATGGCACTATGGCCCTCCACCATCATGCGGCTAACAAATGAAAAAGATCGTAAAACGTTCCTATCATATAGGCTAAGATTATTTTATTCCACAAGTAGCTTCATACCGTTCATTTTAATTTTAATAATTTGTAATTATTAATTAAAAAGAAAAAGCAATTGCACTCTGTTTAGTTTGTTATATTTTTAAAGACACCTCCTCTATTATTAAAAATATCACCGACTTTTCTTCAAGTTTATATTTAAATATCACTGACACCTCTTACTATTAAACTATCATTTATAATACATATAAATTATCTAAAATACTAAAATTATTCTTACATAAACCCCAAATAATTTTTCTATATAAAATTAGATTAAAATTTAAATCGATTAAAATTTATTTTTCTACATAATAAAATTTGAGTTGATTAATTTTTGTTTTACGTATTAAACTTTGAATCGATTAAAATTCAATTCGAGTTAATTAAATTTTAATTTTTTTACGTATTAAAATTTAAACATATTAAAAGTCTTCTTTTACGTATTAAAGTTCAAGACAATTTGAACTCTAATTGTGTTGTTAGTCCCAATTAAAATTCACTTCGAATCGATTAAAATACATATTTTTTGAGTCAATTAAAATTTATATTTTTTTGTATATAAAAATCGAGTCAATTAAAATTTAATGTAATGCAAGTTGATTAAAAATTAATTTTAGTTTCGGCTCAAATTTTAATTTGTAAAAAAAATATATTTTTTAATCGACTCAAATTTTAATATAAAAAATAAATTTTAATTAACTCAAATCGAATTTTAATACATAAAAAAATTTAAAAAATAGAGAAAATTTTATTGAAGATATGTCTATCTAGAGAGAGTGTAGATGAAATTTTTCCTAAAATATATCATGAGTAATTTAATAAAATTACATTCTAATTAACACCTTTAATCTGACATGAGGTGTTAGTGAAAATTCAAAAAATAGAGAGAGTATCGGTGAAGATTCAAAAAATAGAAGAAATGTGAATGAAATTTTCCCATAAAAAAATTAATAGGTAGCGACGCAGTGTGGTCAACAAGGTTAATAATGATAAGACTAATGTACCCTTGGGGCCTCATATCAAAATTAATTTAAAATTATTAATTTTAATTTAAATAATTTATAATTATTAATTAAAAAAGTAAATATAATAAATTTATTAAATATAAAATAAAAATATAATATTTTTAAAAATTAAATTTTGATACCGTAACTGAGGCCGTTAATAAAAGCACACTTCCCAGTAGTCCATGGGTGGGTGAGTTCAACGAGTTATGCCGTAAAGTAGGAGTGAAAACACTGACCTTTTCCATAAGCCATTCAGCATCTACCTACATACGCAACTCTGGAATGTGAATTTTGAACTATTGGTTCCTTCCTCGTTGCCAACCCCAATCCTCGTTTTTCCGGATGTGGACAGTCCTATTTACGTCATTTCCCCGGCGTGTAGTCTGAGGAAGTTTTGGGACTCCTTTAGCAAACTGCAATATATACATGTCTAATAAATAAAGAAAGGAGTACGAAATTCATGCCTTTCTGATACTCATCCTTAAAAAAATAGACAATAGCTAAAGAAATTTACGTAAAAGACACTATATATTTGTTGTTGAAGCCCAGATCCAGTATTATAACTCTGCTGCTTTACAGCGGCATCAGTGACAATTTTTCACCCAAAGGTACGAAAGATAATATCAACAAAAGTTTTAGAACCATAAGATTGATCAAACTATTGAAATCAAATTAGTTGACAAATTATTCTCTAATTCGACATTTTTATGGGTCGAGTGTAATGGCCAACCCATATAAAAAGAACATGAATAACCATATTATTTTAAACTATTTTTTTGCTTTGCAATCAACATCATTAAATATGAGAACCCATTGCTAAACCAACTTCGGCATTGGAGTAAATTGTTAAATTAAGTCTAACTAGCTTTACTCATGTGCATAAATGTATTTGTACTTCTTATACAAAGAAAAGTTGTGTTATGGGCCACCCCAAGTACATTAATTGGTCCGTTGTGTTTGGGCTTTGATGCAAACAGCAATTTGCACCCATAAAAGCATATGCATTATGTACAACTAAAAATCCAACCCCTAGGTTTAAGAAGTTTAAGGATTGAAGTCGGAGAAATAAGAGCAAATGAGTGATTGGGATATCTGCTTCATAGGCTAGTGGCTCTCTTTTGCATTCAGTGGTTGAATACCAACAAATTAAAACATATGATCTTTTCAAAAGACGTGGAATAAGTGGATTGCTGAATTCTGGTTTTTTTCTTTACCTTAATTGAATGAGAATAATATGTTGCTCCTGATGGGTTTTGAAACCTTCAACTGCACAATATAACACTGAACTGTCTTGCAAAATACATATTTCTGAGGGGGGATTAAATACTTGCCTCATACTTCACAGATTGATTCGCTCCTGTCAATCAATCAAAATCTCAGACAGCTGCCAACATATAAAGAGAGAGGCAATAAGTTAAAATGAGTCTTAAAACAAGTTCATATAGTGCAACGATAATGCAGTTCAAGCTAAACATTAATGTAATCTAATCAAAACCGATAGGAACCAATCTAAATAACAAGTTTGAATAGTTTCGTTTGCCACTATTGCATGTGATCTTTTTTTATTTTAAATCACCAAAGAGATAGTCCAATGATTGAACAGCAGCTCCAGAAAGTTCCTTGCCCAAATGCCCAGCAAACTGAAAAGACTTGCTTAATTAGGTTAGGTCAGAGGTCAATTAACATAAAAGTTCAAATTACTGTGTAAAATATGCCACAGATAATGATGCGTTCAGGAAATTTGAGGTTAGATTAAGGAATTTCATAATGTCAAGCAACTATCATGACAGCTTTATGAGAAGTCACAAAATGTTAGTACTGGAAAAAGAACATTAACACAGTCCTTATCTATAGTGCATTCCACCAGAGGAGTGAAGTGGCGGGTGAATTCAAACTGCTAAGGGTAATACACCTATCTTCTTATCCTGGAAGGCACATGAAGATGATAACAACATGATGCAGAAGAGTACCAAAAAAACTATAACAGTAATTTCTTGAAACAAACAAAAAACAAAAGAGAATAGATTGAAGCATTGATAATTCATGAAAGATATCAAAAAACAGACACAATAAACCAGTCTTAGCTAAGTAAAAGGCACCTTGCCACCAATGAATCTAAACTTTAATTAGATAAAGGGAACAGGATAGAATAAAAGCTGGACCAATTACTGATACTAGCAATGATGAATCACAAAGACCAAACATGTGGAAGTCCATCTAAAAAATGAACTAAAAATAAAAAGCTACAACCTATTACAAACATTCAGACAACATAATTTTGGCTAGAAGCAAATCAGAAGCCAAGAAAGGCACATCTCTCATGCATTGTCTGTTCAAATCGTGGGAATAGACAGAACATCGAGAAAAAACAAAATAAATTAGTGTACACTAGTCTTTTGAAGATAAGGAGGGGGTACCGCTGGTTAGCTTACAGTCTATAAACATAAGCAAGAAAACACTGAGCTAGCAAAGACACGTTAACAAGATAAAGCATATGCAGCACTTGAAAGTTCGTAATTCATTCCAATGCGGCTTCAAAATCATCAATCATAAAAGCATAGTAAAATTCAAATTTCTCATATTAGTAATGAAACGGGCAATTGTGTAATTCTGTATAGCAAGCTGAAGAACACATCAGCGTAATGTTCAATCCCTCAAAAAGTAAAGTATTTTTTGACTTCAAAAACTAACAAAAGCGACTATACAATACCCACAGGTCTCAACCCTGATAGACTAAACTAAACAGCATCCATTCCAGGCAAAAGTGAAAGCTTGTCTTAAAAACCTGACAGCTAAGCACCATCACAGTTAGGACACAAATTAGCAGGGCATGGTCCTGTGGATCTGTATGTTTTTCCACTCAAAAACCAAGCAAACCCTCCACATTAGTCATCCCCTGGCACTTAGTCATCACTTTTTTTTACTTTGCAGACTGTTCCTCGGCCGCCTTCTCCAAGGCAATCTGCATATCACGGCATTCAGCAGTGCAAAATGCACGCAAGTACCTGCATCACAGCACAAAAAGTTAGTTTAACTGCAGCAGTTTGACCAAGTTGAAGACTCCTACCCCTGTCCCCCCCTAAAAAAAAGGAAAGAAGAAAAAGAGGAACAGAAGTTAATGGACAGTAAAACAGAAGTTTTCATCAGGTTGTTTGAACAGTTTTTCTTCACGAATCAATTCTAAAACCTACCAGTAGCCAACTATAAAAACACAGCAACTGCAATTAAGCAGCATGAATCGCACTTCATTCTGAGAATTATATTTATCTACACAATATGATGTCACCTATGAATAGTCACCCAAACCAAGTTTATTTGACTAATCATCCTGGCTGAGGAAACATGACAATAATATCTTTCATTCATCAAAATTATTGAATTGATGGAAACAAAATTGAAAGCCACAAACTTGTTTTTGAACTGCAAAAAAATAAAAATAAATGAAAGAAACAAAATGTCAAAGTTTTAAAGCAAAGCTCCATGACTAGGTCGAATATGCACAAGAAAAGAAAAAACAAGGAATATAAAATCAAAAAACAGGGTCAATTGAGATAAATCACCAATGAAAATTGAGATCAAACTCACAATGACATATATAAAAAGAAAGTATGATGTGCTATGAATGATTGTCACTGTAAGAAACTAGAAGGATCAACTTTAATATGCAAACAGGAATGCTAAGTTCATAAGAATACATCAAAAAACTAAACGACTAATATTTGTAAAAGCCAGTATTAAGTCTGCAAATTTTGAAACAAGCATTAGAAACTCAAGGACAAAATACATTGAGAAAATATCACAGGAAGTAAAAGGCAAATTGTAAAGAGGATCGACATTGGAACAAGCTAGAATCATTGACAGCCAGCGAAAAACTGTAAACATTAATTATCAATAAGAAACGTTTAGTATTAAAAAGAAATATAGTCATTGAAATTAATCAGCCGAAGCATAAACGTAAATTTACCGAATCAAATTCAAAAAATAATGGAGTTCAAAATGCACAAATAAGTAAAAAAAAAAAAGGAACAGAGAAGAGTGAAGAAACCCTACCCATACATGAAAACTTCAGCATCTTCAAGAATCTTCTTCTTGCAATAGTAACAATTCTTTAGAAATCCTCCAACCATCTCCGTATCAGTCTGATCAACACTCTCCTGTACCGGAGACGAGAGAGTCAGAATCTTCGGGCGCGATTGATCGACTTTCTCAACCACCGAAGTCTTCAAAACCTTATTCGGATTGTTTGGCGGCTTCACGGAGGCGGAAGGCGGCGCTGTACGCATCTCCCACGATTCAATCGGCAGGGAGACGTGGTCGAGTAGGTTAGACTCGCTGAAGCTCGAAGACCGTCCGATTCCAGAACGCTTGACCGGCATTATTGCTAGAGAGAGAGAGAAAGTGAACTAGAGTTTTGGGAATTGGAGAGAAAATCGGGTCCGTACAAGAGGGTTTGGTGTGAGGGACTGAATAGTTGTGTCTTACTTTAGGAAAGAGCATGGAAGGAGTGGGGAGAGGTACGCGGCAGGTATATATAGGCTACTGTGGTCCCCATACACTACTTTTCAACTAATAAAGGAAAACGCGTTTTTTTTTTTTTTGTTTTCTTATTTTAGGCAATGATCTTCTACGAATATACCGCGTCATCTACCACGTAAATTAACCAATAATATATGAATAATTATATGTATAATAAATTTATAACCTAAATTTATATCTCAAATTAAGGAGGATCATTATATCAATGAGTTACATCAACTTTTTAAAATGAGACTCATTGATCCAACGGTCCTCCTTGATTTAGAATATAAATTTGAGTTATAAATTTAAAATACACAACACTACTCATAATATATTGCCACACTTTTCATAGGGTTATACTTTTGGTAATTAAAAATAATTTTTTGGTAACTTTTATTTTTTTTATATCGAATTTATGAGATGACATGTGAAAGATTATAATATTAAATTATTTTATTTTTTCAACAACTAAATAAGTCAAACCTGACATATTGACAGAATTATTTTTTATATGATATTTAAATTCTTTTTTAGTAATTATATTTTACTATTTCTAAAAGCATCGACTTTGTCATTTAGTTTAACCATGTAATAATAATTCACCCAAAAGAGAGAATTTCTCCATTTTAGTTTTAGCTTCAAAAAAATTAAAAGCAAAATTAATTTTTAATTGTCAGTAATAATTAAGCCATTTAATTTTTCTGATGTTAATCGAATCAAATTTAAAATTTCCCTCAAGCATACTTGGCTTAGTTCGAGTTTTGTTTAGATTTTACACTCACCGAGTTCAAGTTGAGTTCAGATTTTTTCTCAAGTTATTATACTCGGCGAAAACTTACACTCTGTCTAGAGTGAATTTGAACCAAAACCAATCTCATTTTATGAATAAAACGTTTCAAAAATTAAGTAGTAGGATTAAATAACCAATTCTAAAAATATTAAAAAAAAAAAAAAAAAACTCTAAGTAGGTATGATAAACAATCAACCACAACATCCCAAGAACCCCAACCCCTTAAAAAAAAAAAAAATCTACTTCCCTCCTTGCCCTTTTACTTATTTGAATGTTTATTAACAAACCACTGGTAACGAATGGAAAGTGGGTGTGAGACCAGTTGTAGACTTGCAGTCCTGTCCACTATGAGCTTCATGACATTCATCTTTTTCCAACCAAATAGAGTACGAGTTTCAATATTCAGCTAAAGGCCATTCTAGGAAGCACAATAAGGAGCTCCAGGAGGCCACCCAGTCTTTTAAAATCAAAACAATCACCCATATAGCCACCATCACTGGACTTACTGTCCTTTCCATATGCGGTCAGCAACCCTCAGTTTGAGCTATTGCCTAATCCTACCGGAGAAGAACAGAGCCAACCACCTAGGTGTATTACAGTCCATCTTGACTGTCACGAACTTTCCTGTGGCTGCCCCCGATGCTTCTTGGAATGCCCTAGCTGAGTTTCTTTGCCTCGCCATCCTCAACCCATGAACCGAAAGGAGGTCATCTAGGCTGGTGTCTTGGAAAAACTCAAAATCCAAGGGGAACTGTCTTCCACAACACTAGAACATCTGCATGGGACAGAAAATTTAAAAGCGCATCGTACAATGTAAAGCTACGGTATATATAGTAGGATCAGATTTTCATCACACAAGTATGCAACTTTTTTGTTTGAGTAGGCATTTTGAAAGCAAATACAGATGAGGAGAAGCTTCATACAAAGGAAATTCCTTATCATGCAAATCAAGGAGAGGTCGTAGCTAAAGCAACTCAGACTCAAGTAATTGAAATATGTTTTCCACAACTGAAAACAAGGATTCAGGGTCAGAACTGGAGCACACGAAGTTGCTAAAACAAATCATCTATGTACGCTAGTAAAAGAGTTTGAGATCTTTTTTCCTACCGTATAAACATCGAGTCACTTCATTTCAGTTCAGTTGACGCAGAATGCCTTCATCTTTATATCCAATAGCTGTCCCTCCACCACCAGGCCACGATCATAAATTTGTGACCAAATATCTGTTGCTCACATTATCCCATTAAGAATCTTCACAGCAGGAAGACCCATCAGGCCACAAGTTTAAGACAACAAGTGACACCGTATTCAAGATAACACCAACCATTTCTTGAAGGTCAATGCTGCCTCTCTCTTTTTCAACTGGGATTCTGTCTGGACTTTGGAAGCCTTGCCCTTATACAGTGTTCTGTGGTACTTCAAGAAAACAGTGCGGTACTTGTACTTGTCAATGAACATATTCCCTTTTTCCATCATCTCAACAACTTCGTTTGCTCGAATGAAAAATCCACCCCTCACAAATGTATAAAGCACAGAATCCAACAATTCCTGATCAAACTTCATCCCACTATAAGTAGCAAGAACCTTCATCTCACCCCACAGCTCTGTTACCTCCTGATATTTTCCCCCAATAGCAGCATAGCCAGTAACCAGAGAATGGAAAGTTTGTGCATTTGGGGAATGTCCTAAACTCGTCATCTTCTTAAGAGCCTTCTCAGCATCTTGCATCAGTCTCTTCTTGCAGAAGAAGTGAATCACATTGTTCCAGTCATGAACTCCATAATCCACTCTCTGTCCTTCCTTGATTTCCTGCAAGAGCTTCGACATCAAACCATCTTCACCGCTCTCTGCACATCCTTTAACCAACATCTCAAATTCTTGATGACCAGTTCTTGGTATCTTAGCCTCTTTCATCTCTTTGAACAGATTGAGGGCCCCATGAGTGTCTTTCTGGATCACCCGGGACTGGATCAATGCCTCGTAACAACTTGAATCCAGCTGGATCCCAGCCTTACGAACATCTCGTAGAATTGACATTACCTCTCCGGCCCGATTTTCTTTAGAGTATGCTTTCAACAGGGAGGCATATGCGGAAGAACCAATTCTAATACCAGCAAAGCGCATTTCATCAAGAAGGTCGTATGCCTGATCTAGCCATCCAAGCGAAATGCATGAGTTAATCACCTGAACCAAGGCAGAATTATCAGGGGAAAGTGGGGCCTCTTCCTTCTGCGCCTTGATCAGAAATTCGGCCAAATCCTTTGTCTTGTCAGCTTCTAAGAAAGCCTTGACCAACTTCACATAGATTATTTCAGTGGGTAGGAGAATACCACGCTCAGTTGTGATTAATTCAACTCGCTTCTGCAATTTCAATAACATCGCATCAAGTATTTTTTTAGCTTCAGCCTCAAGCTTTAAAAATTTCCGGTCCCTACAAAAATCTCCATAAGACAAGGTCAGGTTTCTAAGTAACATGGGATCATCAGGTCCATCTGGTACTCTGTGACTCAAAAACTCTGTAGAAACTAGTTCAGGTGGTGACGTATTCCCATTTCCAGCAGAGTCAAATACCAGCATAGCCACACCAAGAGAATCTTGCGCTTTCTTTGCTTTCCTAAGCATTTCCAGAACCATGTGGCATGCAGATTCTAGATCACCAAAGTTCAAATGACATGTAAGCAAACAATTGTAGAACTGCCGAAACTGAATATCACTTAGGTCCTGGGCTTCATCAATGTGTCTCTTCAGCCTCTTGAGCTCTTCTCTTCGCCCATTTCTTTCGTAAATATGGGCCATGATGACCAATAAGGTCACATCAGCTTTTACACCAATGCGAGGCATTATGTCAAGAAGCTGCTCTGCTTTTCTAGTAGTACCAAAAAGAAGACACCCAGCCAAAGTAATGTTAACGCTGTTTGTATTGGGTTTCATAGCAATCAGAGGTTCATTACTCTTTTTGCGTGGGTCCACCCTTCCATCTTGGAACAAGTAGCCTATCTCAAGAACCAATTCAGCAGCAAGATAAGCTCCAGGAGCAGTTTGCGACATATAGGCTAAGATTGCAGACCAAGCGGTTACAGGAGGAAATAGTTCCATTTCTACCAGTTTTCTCAGAACAGTTGATGCCAGAACAGGGAAGCCACCTCTGGCAAGACATAAGGAGAGATAAACTAGAGTCTCCTTCTCTAACAAGTTCTGCTTGTGCTCCTCAATGGCTAGTTCCACCAATCCATAAGCCTTCTCAAGCCATTGAAGGTTTAGACTTTCTGCAAAACTTGCCACCAACTTGTTCACTATAGATTTCCTAGGAAACCCTTCCATCTGCATATGCTGCTCGTGCAAGATCCATGCCTCACCGAGTCTATGCTCATCGATTGCATTTTGCAATTCTTCAGAAAGTTTACCAGGGTCTCGAGCCTGCACAAGGATTGTTCCAGTCATAGTTGAAAATGATAGTGAAGGATGGGTGAACCAATGCTGAAATTTCAATCCCGTAGTTCTCATGTCCAAGTTGATCAATGATGATCTTCTGATGAAGGGATAGACTGCTTTGCGATTCCAATAAACATGAAATTGGCATCTGGAAATCCTAGCATATTTAAAATAACTTCCAGATAGCAGGCTAAGTAAAGCAGAAGAGAAACTTGGATTCTGAGAGCTCAGTTTCCTGGCAGACATAGTTTCTCCACGTAGCAAATTTATCACCTCATATTCAATGCTTCAATAGATCAAAATCTGCAACTTGTAAAACACCATTCATCATACAATAGTGAACCCTGCACTACATTTGCCGTTATTGAAAACTTGCAAAGTGAATGATTCACTTAAAGTAGAGGAAGCTGAAGTGCGATGTCTAGTTTAACTTAATAAAACCACAGTCGCATGTTTATACTCTTCGTTTTTCCAATAAACTATGCTTATTGTAGTGGCAGACAGACACCACTCTTCGTGGCCACACTGCACGCTATCGCACTTACACAAGCCTACACATTTGCCTGCCTTCAAGCCTACCCTTAATCTAAGTTAACCCCACCATATTAAAAAAAAATTACAACCCACATTGCATTTTCGCCACTAAATTGCATAAATGACTGCAATCGTGAAAATCACATTATAAGAGTTCCAAGCCGAGGTTCCAGCATGGAATCAATTAATTCTGAACCAACTTGTAATTGTCTAGTGATTTAAACTACGTAATAATTACTGCATTCTTGGAATCTGATTAGTTTTGTCTCGGTACCCTTTTGAGATAATTTTCCGTTAATTAGCATAAGCTATGTGGCATGGGATTCAGTGTTGAGCTTTTTTTTCTACATGGTATAAATCTACATCCGTGGTGTCATTCTAAACCAATCAACAACACACATGGCACACCCAAATTTCTTTATTTCAGCCACCATGTCATACCTCAATTGCTCACTCTGCGTATACGTGTATATGCACTGTGTGTGTGTGTGTGAGAGAGAGAGAGAGAGCTGTACCGATTTGATGTATTCTTAGCAGGAGACGGAAGCTGATGAGTTTTGAGGCCAATTCGACGACGTGCTCTGGCGGTCTTCTGAATCCAGAAGCAGGCAGTGATCTCTTCAACTTCCTCTCTCTGCTCTCAAACCCCTATCTCTCTTCTCTTCTCTGGGCTCTTCATGTCTCAGGTGAGCCGAAGGCAACCCTTTTCTCTCCTACTTTTTCTTTCAGCTCTCTATCCCTCTTTATCTCGGTTTTCTCTCTCTCTCTCTCTCTCTCTCTCTCTCTCTCTCTCCGCTCTCAGAGTTCTCTGTATCACCCTCTCCTTCACACCTCTCAGTTACAATCTCATCTCTCACAGAGGAGAGAAGTAGGGTCTCCGTCTTGGCAGTCGGCACATTTGGGTTGGTCACTCTCCTCTGATTATTATAATCATATGGAGTCCTCTAAATTTTTGTAAGTTGGGACTGACGGAACCCCATTTCTGCCTAACCGACGTTAGTAAAGGTAACGATGTAGTCTGATATCAGGCTAGAAGTTGCTATAATTTTAGGTACTCCCCTTTGGTGCTAGCCGCTAAGTTGCTAATCGAGTCCAACAATTCGGATTTGACTAAAGTTTAAATAAATTTTGAAGTTCGTGTTCTAAAATGTTCAACCGGAGTTTATAAAATTTAACTCGTTTGTACGTAAAATAATTAAACTATTAAGATTTAGTTCGAGTTTAGCTCAATTTATTTTCTAAATGAACTGAACGTGAACAATCTTTTTAATTTATTTAAAAAAACGAACTCGATAAAGTGAACTCAAATTCACAAAATTCGATTCGATTATAAATTTTATCTAACACTAAGACAAATGTTCATCCCCAAATTATCATGTGAAAAGATAATTTTGCCCCTCAAAAATATAAATGGCTAAATATTGCCTTCTATAAATATTCAATGAAAATTCAAATAATAATCCAGTATATTGATTTTTTAAAATGATAATAAAATTTTTAGTAATCCCAAAAGAAAACAATGCCCCTTTTACGTGCATATTCATGAAATCTTAATTATTTATATTTGAGTAAAAAATTATTTTTTAGGGTCAGCCACCTTATTGGTGAAATCTTAATCTCATATTCGATACTTTTCGTACCCTCTAAGCACTACAAGAATTTGTTTTTTAGTGGTGAAAATTGTTGCGATTAAATGTATAAAAATTGTCACTATATAATTTAGTGGCAACTTTTTTATTACCATTAAACCGCGGTAATATGTGCGTGGCTAAATCATTTAAATATGACATTTAATTGTTGCCACTAAAAATAAAATTTTTAACCACAATATGAAAAATGTCACTAATGTTAAATTTTTAACCACAATAATTATTGTAACAAGTTAACGTAATTTTGCCACTAAAATATACCATGTCACCACTAAAAATCTAATTAAAACTTGACTTTTTGAGACAACAATTAATTGCAGTTAAAAATATATATTTTACCCATAATTAGAATCACCACTAAATTTGGAACATGTTTTTAGTGACAACTTATTGTCTCGGTTAATACATTAAAATGAATAAAAGAAAACCTATTACATATTTAAAATTATTTATTTTTCAATATTTTTCAATTTCACATACCTATTATAGTTTAATGAATCAATATATATACCTAATGAGGAAACAAATAACATAATAACACAAAGACTCACTTTCAAATATATAATTCTCAAATCAAATCACATAAAATAATATTATGATATTAGTATTATTAAATTGTACACGTACAATGCATCATCATCAAAGAATAGAAATGAACAAAAAAATTATGATCATGATTTCAAATTGTCCTACCAACTAGACAATGATACTCACTCAAAAAAAGTAATCGCATAACAATTAAATCTCAACTACACATTCAATTTTTGGCAAGTTATTGAATTTTTCGTCATTAATCTTTAGTCTTTAATCTTTAAAAGTGAGCATTCCAAAGCTGTTTTCAGAGTTTCTACTTGTTTGTACCTAACAAAAATTAGCCAAAAGTACAAAGAGTATAACATATGAACAAATAATCAATAAAAGAGATAAAAAAATTTTAATTAAATTGATTACACTTTTAACTGTGTCAACAAATAATGCCAAATCGAATAGATCTACTAACTTCTCATCAAAAATGAACCCAACCTGCTATTAATAATCATCTCAGCAATTCATACATATCAACCCCACAAATCAATCAGAGGTTTTGAGATGTTCCGGAGATAATACATAATTCAAGGCATGTTGAGCACTAAATTCAAGCAAATTAAAGAGTAGCATAAAATAAAACCTCACACATACAAGAGATGAGTCCCCCTTTTTTGGCATTTTCAATTATATGCAGTTCATCGAAATTCTATAAAAAGAATCAGTATTTAGCAAATGGCATAAAGGATGAGCCCACTAATAGCCTTTTACAGATACTCCAATTTTTAGTTCAGATTTTATTTATTTCTTTGATGAGAGGCCCTGATCCCTGTAGACGAAGTATATACATCTTTGTGAATCAAAATTATCGTTCTCCATTGGCCAAGAAGCCCTAGGCCTAAGACAAGGACTTCAATTGACCAAATGTAGACTATCTATCACCCATCATATGGCAGTAATAAATTTGAGTACTAGATAATAATTTTGGATGAGCAATAAAGTGAGCCACTGGCTGAATGGTAGCCTTGAAGAGGCTGTGAAGGATGGCATTGCACAAGCATCAAAAGGGCATTGTTTCAATGGGCCATCATAAAAGTTCCTTATCAAACTTCATCATATATTATTACGGCAGTATCCCTGGTCATCAACGTAGTCTGACAAACCAGGAAAATTAATAGAAGAAAAAAAAAATTACACGAAGTTGTATGCCAGAAAGGCACCTTGGCTATGTTAACAACTAAGAACTACAGGAAGTACTGTGGCCAGACAAATGCATTAACTTGGATGAATTGTGGAACCTTATCAACCCCTTCTGGTAAAGTGTTTAACCAATTGTGAGTGTCAGGTGAAAATTATCGTAGGATAGTAATTTGTTTAGCAATAAAAACTCAACAAATTAACCGAGTCGCAAACTGAGAGTTAAACACTACAAGTGCTGTGACTGTTAGGAGCACCATTCGAAGGCTCAGGGAGCAAACTGAGAGTTAAATTTGCATTTATTCATGGATGGATGTAATCTTTAGCACCAGACAAGTTGCCTTTCTAATTCACGTCTGGTTTTTGGTTGGGTACTTACATTTTCAGAATTTTTGAAACTGATGAATCAAATTTATGATTCGGATAAAAAAATAAAAAACCGAGTCGCACAAAAAAAGGCAATGTTGGCGGCATCTACCTAAGCCAAGGAAAAAAACAATTTTTTAGCACATTAATGTTAACAGTATAAGCAATATTCGAGAGATGAGAGTACTAGCTCTAAATACATGGCAATGCCTATTCCCTGAAACATATATAGTTTGCTGAATTGATTAATGCAAGCACATTAAATCCAATAGAGGTTGCTGGTGTATAACAACATTGGTTGTGGGTAATTAGATAATAAAATGATGCAGGGTAGGAAAAACAATTCCAAAAATCTGTTTTAGACTTTTAGTTTTGCTAAACAGACATATAACTCACTAGTTCCTGAACAAGGGGAACAGAGATTCACTACCCAATCAAATTCAGTTGTTCAAAGGCCATCTCAGCATCCCTTAAAGATCCATGTGATCTTGATGCAATAAGCTTTGGTGCATCCTTGTCAATTTCTAGATCCACTGCAAAGTTTAGATAATATCTGCATCTTTCAACTTTGGAAAAAAGAATTTCTGGCACCTGGATATGATTATGAGGTAGTACATTAAGACTTGAACAGACAAGGACAAAAACTACATAACCAAAATGAGCTGAGTCTATATGTCATGAGATCAAAAGAACCCTCACGAGGTATAAATGATATTGTCTGATCATTTTCGAAGTGCGCTAAATGAACACCCCTACACAAAGAGTAGCATGAGTAGGAGAACAAGGAGCAGGGAGAGAGAGAGATTAAAAAACCACACCAAGGGTTAGACTACATACTGATGAAATTTGATGTCATCTAAATCAATGGCTTTTCCCTTAGTTGATCGTCCCTGTGCCTCAAACAACACTCTATCATTCAGCCCAAGCTTACACTCAAGCATACAACTGCAATAGATGATGCAAATATTTTATACTCTCTAAAAATGATCGGTAGAGAGTCGCAAGCTCATCAGATAAAGACCAAAAAAAATTGAACCACACCACTATCATGGGCAATTTCTTCTTGTCATATTCTCTAAGCATATAGAATACAGAGAGAGTAACAGATATAAGGGATAAACATTAACCAGAACAATAATAAACCAAAGAATCATAAATGAGAGCCACAGATTAGATCTATACTTGATTAATGAGAAGGAACATGACACCTGCGGTATGACCACCACTGGGAGGTCCAAAGAGAGAGAGAGAGAGAGACGATACCAAAACTTCGATCTCGTGCGTGAGGGACACAACTTAGGATCTAAACAAGTATTCAACAAAATTAGAGCTACTGAGTTTCCTATAGAATTAATGTCAATCAGAGCAAGAAACCACTTCTCACGACATAAACTTCAGCAGGATATCACTTTTACGAAAATTTCATCGAACAATATAGTGAGAAAGACCTAGATTTCGTCGATTCAGTGTAAAATACCGCCAATTCAACACAAACTACAACCAAAATCCAAAATCAAAAGTTGCCTATTAAGTCCATAACACAAAGAAGGAAATATTCATCTCGTAACATCACTTGACCATGAAATCACACTCAATTTAACAGACTAGAACATGATATCAAGCATTTTGAAGGACATAAGTGAGAGATTGATGGGAGAACAAATATCAAAAGATCTAAAAGAAAACCCTACCTTGCAATTCTTCAAGACAAATATAGTGGTGACCGTAGAACGACGACACAACATACCACACTCACAAGATGCTCGAATGGTCAAGGGTGCCACCATTGAAATTAACGCACAGTGGCAGGAAAAAAAAAATTGTTGCTGTAAAAATTGCATATTTGTTGCAAGTAAAAAAATTTATCACCAAAATTTTAAATCATTAGTGGCAGAATTTAAATTGTTGTCACTACATATTTTTTCACCAACATCATTAGTGGCAACAAATAAATAAGCACCACTAAAAGTTTTTTTCGATAAAATTAGTGATGAATTAGTGATATTTTTGCTGCAATATTTAAATTGTCACTAATTGGATTCAATATCATATCATCCGTGGCAACACTAATTTTTCACCACTAATTATATATATTTTGTGACAATATTTTTACCTACAATATAAAGAAATAATCAACACAAACTTAAACATTATATAACAAAAAAAAACGTCAATTATATGAAGATTTCCATAATCTATAACTTGGACGTATATCAATATTCATGGAAGAGTAATTCAATTCCTATAGCTTTATTACATAAATTTAACAATATCGATTTGGTGTTATCATTAATGGCGCACACCGTTTTTGACCTATAAAAGACGAAACAACGGGCCGGTCTCAGGCGAACTCACAGTCACAGGGGTCTCTCCAGTCGTGCGTTAGGATGGCCAAGCTCTCAGCAGTGCTTCACACTACTATTCTCGTCCTCGGTGCACTCTTTTTTTGTACCTACACCAACCTTATTAATGTTTATTGATTAATGAACATAAACCATGTATAAGTTCGGATCATACATAACCGTGTATAAATTGTTTTTAACGGATTCAAATAGACCTGTATATTTTGATGAGCAATGTTTTGTGTCGATATTAAGGTTGTAATTAGATATGTGTATGGTTTTGGTGGATGCAGTTGAGTTGATGATGATGAGGGTACTACCCCAGGTGGTTGATGGTAAAAAAGTGTGTACCGAAGAAGGACTTCCGTGGGTGAAATTTCACTGTCTCAATGGAGAGCCAGATGCACCATGCTCCGATGCTTGCCACCAGAGGCATGGAAATGCCTTTATTGGCGTTACTTGCCAAAACAATTTCGGTCTTCTTCCCTCTTTTTGCCTTTGTCAGTACTCTTGCTGAAACCAAGGGTGGAGGGAGGCTAGGGCCGGGGTGGGCACGTGTCCCCTCAAAAAAAATTTTATTAATTAAATATATATATTATATATTTGTATAATGTAATATTTTTGCCTATCCAAAATCTAAGATAAAAATATTAGGCCCATATTATTTATTTAAAAAAATTAAAAAATTATGTCCATTTAAAATAAAAAAAATTGAGTCCATCAATATCTACCAAATTTATTAAAAAATCAAAATTTTGACCTATTACAATTCACCCAAACTTATTAAAAAATAAATTTAGTTTGTTGAAATATTTGAGTCCATCCTAACGTGACTTTCTGGCTCCGCCCCTGGCCGAAAACCAAGTCCCCCCCACGCCATCTGTGCAGTTGTGGTGGTGTTATCAAGGTCTTTATAATTATCTCTTGATTATAAAAACAGTCCCTTTTTTCTCTTTCCATTTTTCAGAAGCAATCACACACACACACACACTTTGACAGATTTCTCACAGCATTTCATGAGGCAGATGCTGACCCAGAAAAAGAAAATCAAAACCAGAGAGAGAGAGAAATGACTGTGGAGCTATATATGGAACAAATCTGGGTTTTTTTTAAATCAAGAATATTAGTGCATCCAACTTAGAAAATTTGCTTTGGTAATAAGTGTTGAGACTCGTAAAACTCGTAAGAGGTATTATTTCGATGTGAGAAGAGGTGTACTTTTTTTTCGTAATAGCTTATTCAAAGCTTGGGTCTGTATTGGGAAGGTGCTTCGGCGATGGAGGAGGCTGTCTATTAGCTACCAGGTGCATGTCCTTCTCATGTTATTCGTGCATATTAGACCTTCAAAGACTTTTAAATCGAACCCCTTTTACTAGAAGACCTTTTCTCTATTTATCTTTATCTATCAAGGTTCGTACAAAAAAAGGATGATCCATGAAATTTGTTTGTCATAAGGTATTGTCTTGGATCAATCTGGGACTCAATTGAAAGCCAAAACTAGTAAGCCAAATTCAACAAATGCACGTTGAGTAGGGAAGTGTGGGAAGTATCGAATACCACTAAGGATCGGACAAAGCAACCATAAATTAAATTAATGTGCGGCCCCACTCACGAGTAAAGAGCCAGACAAAGCAACCATAAAACAGACTCATATGTAAGCATTGGTGCACTAATAACACAAAGAAATAGAAGAAAAATAGAAATCAGTGTGTGTGATTGGTTGGGTTTTTTTTTTCTCCCTCATTATTCACTTTTAAAGAAGAGATGTGGTGTGAATCAACAGTAAAATTTTGCTCTTGATAAATAATGAAAATTCAATTTATTGCATTTTCATAATAACATTCAGCAGTGGAAAGAAACATGTTTACAGTCATCCACAACTTTTATTGTAGACTCTGCACTCTCCCTCTGTCTCGTTGAAGGAAAACTGCATTATCCATGGTCCATTGTTTAAGCCTTGAGCTTTTCCAATTTGGCTGCACCCATAAAATTAATGAACAAATATAAGGTCTATTCAAAAAGAATAGGAATAATAATCGAAATCGAAAAACTTTTATAACTTAAGAATTACCATGTCGCATTTGCCATCTATACTAAAGATGATTCTATATAGGGTGAATCGTCGGAACCACAATCATGGTAGGACTCAAATGAATGCAATTACAATTACATACAAACCACACGTGACTAGAAAAATTCAAATTCAGAACTTATATACCTTGAAGCTCTTTAGCCCCACAGTCACCGTCGCACTTCATTTCACAGAAGGTATAGCCATTGCCTTCGGATGAGCAATCCTGGTGACAGGGTGCATAGCATGACTTGTACACTTCTTCATCGGCTACAACCTCATGCACATGCACTGCTGCGAGGACAACAATGCACATGAGAAACACTGCAACAAGCTTCTTTGCCATTTTCTTTCTTCTGATACCTTTTGTCTATGCTTGTTCTTATTCCCTTCTTCTGCTGTTTCAGTGTTTCTTAAGTTTTGGACAATATCAATGGAGGTTGGGCGCGGGCATTTATAAGGGGATTAAAAGCCTATGTGTTGGGTGATAACCCACAAAGTGTGGGAAAGTTTGTGGCTTTCGGAATGGCTTGGTCAAATTGGTTTTGCTAAAAACATGGCTGACTGAATGGAACAAACTTGGGACATTGAAGAAATAGGCTTTTGCCTTTTGTTTAGGCTATTTATCCTTTTTTTTTCAATGACCAAGGCTGTCTAGGTCAACTTACGCTCACCTCAAATAATTTTCTTCCTAGTCCGGTCAAAGACAAATCATCTACGCTAGAACTAGGGTATTCATGGGGGATAAATTCCTCATGACGTACTTGTAAAGGGTTGTTAAGATTCGAAGTTAAGACGTTTGAATTTACAGCTCGTCCTTATTACCATTTGAGTTACCCTCTAAATTCGTTTAGGTTTATTCAACATAAAGTGAGATTGAACTTCATAGCTTAAGAACCATATATATATGATGCTCCCCAATTCATTTTTTTCAATTTCACTGTGTGTAAATTGGCTTAGAGAGACAAAAGTGGTAATTGGAGTTGAGCTATAAATTCAGATGTTTCGAATTCGAATTTTAGTAATTTTTTGAGTTAAATCACGAGGGATTTATCTCTCATGAATACCTTAGCACCTCTGACTGTCGAACAAAAAAAAGAAATTAATGAAAAGTACTAATTTTTGGACCTAAAAATTTGAAATACGAATTAATCTTTTTCGTTAGAGAAAATACCTATTTAGATTTCAATGGCATTATCATTAATGAATTTACACTTAGATAATCACCCTTAATTACAATTAACAAAGTTTGAAACTGAGAATATCCAAAAACCAACATATGGCATCCAGCCATAAATTGTAATATGAAAAATAACCCTTCTGTTTTCATAATACAATAGAAGGTAAGGTAATGCATGTGTCATTAGAGTCATTGTGGATACTTTTTTTTTTCCAAGAATACGTATATTTGTGTCTTAAAACATAAATCATATGCCTATAGAGTTACACTTAAAAGGGATTTTTTTTTTAGCATTGTTTTTATGATGTGAAAAGGTGTATACGTGTATGTATTATCGAAAAATCATGAATTACAATTTTTAGGAATTGCAGAAAAACAAGATTCATTCAGAAAGAAGATCTAGGGATTAAACCAAATTTATTAGGATACCAAGCTATGTGACAAGCCATTAAATTGAGCACACCTTGGCAATGCTATATAACAGGTACAACTTTCAGAGAACTTCCAAGCATCGCTTAACATGGCAAAGCTCACTACCATCTGCTTCCTTACTCTCCTCTTCATCAGCACTTTAGGTCTCTCTCTCTCTCTCTCTCTCTCTCTCTCTCTCTAAATTGTTCTAAAAATTATAATTTGTCGTAGAATGCAATGATTCGTTATATTATCATAACTTTTTGGTACTGTATCAAAAATTACAATCAAAATAGGTCAAGTTATGATATAGTTGATTTTCATGCTTTAAAAAATTGATCGAAATAGATGATAGCACCCTTTTCCCCTCTTTCGTCAATCAATTGGATTGATTAGGCTCAATTCTAGAAAGTTGAGATTGATTCCAAGTTTCTAGAATTGACCTCAAATGTTTTGAACCTCGTAATTTTGATATGTTTAAATAAAAAAATTACCTCATTGGTCATAACTTTTTTCCCCGAGAGGTACCAAACTGTGAAAATCGAAAACGACAATCAACATGTTTAAATTGTTTTTACTTAACTTGTTTTTGGCCTTAATTTATTTGCAGCGGAGATCAATGCACTTGAAGACCAGTGCACCCACTCCTTGGGGTGTAGAGGCTCTCTATTTACATGCCTCAAGGACTGTAGAAAGAAGTTCCGTGGCTTCGTTGGGAAATGCACTAAGCGTCCGCTCTTGGCCGTGCCACCAGACTCGCCACCAGGCCGCTTCACATCGCCACCAGGCCGCAGCAAAATCGGTTGCAGTTGCTTTTGCACTTGCATAAGCAAAAACAAGAAAGGTGGAAAATGTTCACCTAAGCCGCCACCACCACCGCCTAAGCCACCAACGGTCTTTAAAGTCTTCCCGTGATATAATTAAGACATTACACTTTGACCTGGTTTAACTCAACGGTATATCACTTATTATAATTTCACATTAGACACATTTTATCAGGAGGCTCTTTACCCAAAAATAGTGAGTGATTTACAATTTATGGATTAAATGAAAGTGTAATGAAGAGAATCTAAATCTTATGATACATCTATTTATATGTATGTGCATTAATTGCACCTTCGTTACGAATGGTTTATTGATAAAACTATTTAAATAAAATATATCCCGTTTATCATTGAGAGAATCTCACTCCTTTTTGCACGTATTCCTTTTATGCAAAATCATGTCTATTTTTAGTCTGATTTCTATATTGGCACTTTTCCTAGTAAAGATTGGAAATATGTTGTTTGGTGGGGTATTTCGGATTTGTCATCTGATAATTATGGGTAAATTCTATTTATACATTAAAATTTTCACCTAGTTTCTATTCACTTTATAAATTATCAATTGAAAAAAATTAGTGTTTCAATTAAAGTCTATCCAAATCGCCAATCCTAAAAGAAAAAGCGTCGAGTGAACATCATGTGCCCAATTACAAGGTTAATTATGGACAAGATGAATCTAATATCATAGTTTGTGTTGTATGTGTTAACTCATCTATCAACACTCGAGCCATTTGATTGTACGTATTAGCTCATATTTCGTAATTTGACTCGTAGATATTCATTCAATCAGAATTATCAGCAAAATTGAATAGAAAATTTAATTAAAATAGATCTCACGATGAAGAATAAATATTGAATGGAATGACAATACCATGTCAGCAATGTTAACGTAGTTTTATCAATTAATAATAAAACATGAACAAGTGAATCCTATTTTGATAGTTTGTTGCTTATATGGAAGAAGGATAAATAATTATTTACTTATATGAATGATTGATTATTAATTTTAGAGGAATTTATTTATTTATTTATTTTAATATTATTAATTGATGATACTATATCAGTATTATCATTTAGTATTACTATTGTAATATGATGATGCACAAATTAGTTTGCTCACCACTAGTCAAGTTATAGTATAAAATGCAGTAAGTAGAAGAGGAGAGAAGACAAGATTTATAGTGGTTCGGTCAATACGACCTACTTCCACTTTGAATGGCTAGGTTCGCCAAAATTTTATTATCTCCGATGTGGAAGGAGAGCACATGATTACAAGCCTTGAAAGGGGAGGAGAGAATTATGCCCAAATGAATTTGATGTCCCCCAAGTGTTGGGGGAACTTACAATTAATAGTGGCTTGGTATAGTAGTTGTATGACTAGTCTGACGGTCATAATGGCTTAGGACCGTTTGATAATAATTAGGTAGCTGATCTGACGAAGGCGACCTATCATCTTTTTAGTAGGTGTGACAATTGGTGTGCTCTCCAAAGGATTTGTTCAAGGATGAGGGAGGTTGACTCTCTCTAGGCTGTGAGGGTGAGGCTCTTGGATGCTCCCTTGGTGGCGTAGAGATTCTTGGATGACCTTTTATTCCAAGGTGGTAGAGGAGACCCCTGGATGACCCTTACTCCAAGGTGGTACCCTTGAATGATTCTCTTAGATGACCCTTACTCCAAGGTGGTAAAGGAGATTCTTGGATGACCATGCATGCTCCCCTGCAGCTCCTTGATCTTGATAAGGTTATCCGGGTGTAGACTCAGTTGGACTTGACTAGTTGGATCTCTTGACATTGGGCCTTTAGCTCGAACCAAACTTATAACATGGGTTAGGCCTTTGGGCCTAGCCCATCATTTGCCTCCCCCAATGCCCTGTGTCCAACAGAACTTGAAAATGAGAGCATTTAAGTTGAATTTGAATTTTAAGCTGACCAACATAATTGGAAAAACTTTAGGAGGCCAAAACATCCGTTTATAGGCCTTTTTTGGACTTTCAACAACATCAATCATAGCCAAAGGCTGGGAATCTTGTAGGGCTCATCGATAACTTTGATTTGATATATTATAAACCTCATTTCAAGCAACGGAACAAAAATTACGGTCAAAACTTCGAGCCGGAACTGGATGCATGTTTTAGGCGAGCAGGCACATACTGTGCTAGGTGAGCAGAAAACCTATTGGGCGAGCTGAATTTTTTTTAAAAAAAAAAAGAAACTGCAGGAGGCCAAAACACCTCTTTCTGAATGTTTTTTGAACTTTTTTTTTTGAAAAGCTCATTACCAATGGTAATGAGTTTTGCCCAGCTCGTCGAGAGCTTCGATTTGGTATGTAATAAGCCTCATTTTGAGTTACGGTCAAAATAGCGAGCAGGAAGCCAAGGGCACATTTTTGGGCGAACAGTCAGCTTTTGGGCGAGCAAGCCATCTCTTGGGCGAGCATATAACCTCTTGGGCAAATTTTTTTTTTTCAAACAATGTCAAATGGTGGAGATCATGTGCTAAGGTCAGCAAATCTTGGTGTGCAACTTGGAAATGATGGTGTTGTCCCCTGGAGAAGAGATGGAGGTGTATGACCCTTAGGACTGGCTACTGGGCGAGGGTTGGGCACCCATGTTGGCGAGGCAACGGTGGCCTTGGGTGAACAGGGTGCTTGTGAGGCTGGCGGTCTAGGTAGCCTTGGTGATCTGGGCGAGCAAACCAAGGAGGCTCCTGTTGTGTTAGGCAGTCCTTTAGGCGAGTAGAGCTTGGGCGATCATGCCTTGGGCGAGCAGGACTTGGGTACAGGCTATAAGGAGAGGTGTTGGGCAAGCATTTCTGTTGGTTAGGGATTAGGCGCCGAGGCCTAAGTGCAGGGCACCTCGACCCAAGCGAGCACGGAGCCCTCGAGCGAATGGAACAGCTCTGGGGAGTGCACCGATGGGCACATTGGTGCTAT